TTTATGATAAAGTATTATAAATAACTATTATTGTACAATACCTGTTATTATATTAATTATTATATTTTATAGTATAATTTTCTTTATTATAATTACATTAGAGAAAAAATTATGTAGCGAAAAAAATTCTTATTACAAGATCATAAAATTGGGTATGTCACATCAAATCAATTATGATCATGCGAAATCCTGCTCAAATTGCATGACAACCTATTGACATTTTTTGGGGAGCTAAAAGAGAATACTTCCAATAAAGAATATACTTCCATTATTTTTAGTGATCTCATCTTTAAAAATAAGTAATGAAATATCCACCACGTATGTAAAATTTATATTACGAAAAAAATTTTTGACCTTTTGGGTTTCCAGGGTTGCAAATAAATATGAATCTCTGCGTTTTATTTCTGTGAATACGAAACAAAGGCGCGAAAGACTTAGAATCACCTGATGATACTGGACCTTGGTGCTACTTTGGTAGACGGTCGCACGGATTTTGGCGACTTGCCTTTTGGCGAGTAATACAACTTATGGTAAACCCATTGCTGGATAAGTTATTTATGGTAACCGATACTTTGTTGTCATTTTATTAAAAAAATAATGCATTTTATTATGCATAACTTCCATGTTTTAAATATTATTTATGGCTTCTAAATATTAAAAATCAATTTAATTTTACATTTTTATTTGAAATAAAAATTTTGTTGTTTATAATATTTTATATAATTTTATGTTGTGGATGATGTAATCAATGACGTCACCTTACTTAAAAAGTAATTGGTTTTATTAATATCTATAAATTTAATCTAATGTTTTAAACATTATTTATGGCTGTTAAATATTAAAATAAAATTTAATTTTGCATTAAAATGATTTTATTAAATGATTATTTAAATAATTTTAATTCTATGCGTGATGTAATCAGCTCCCTGATTGGTTACTGAATATTTGTGCATTACCCCCGCGCCATTTTAAAATTTTATTATTCATCTCTTCGAATTCCATGGATTTCAAATGGAATGGATATCTCCGTTTCGAAGACGAATGATTGTTATTGGTAATTACCAAGAATTATTGGTATTGGGAAAAAAAATTGCCCTTTGAGACCTTTATTTTGGGGCCAACCTGTCTTTCCTAATCAAAGATTTATTTATAAATTGTTAATAGCGTCAGAGGAAAATTATTTTAAATTTTTGGAGGAAACCTCGCTAATTACTTCTTCAATGAAGTGCGAGATATTTGGATAACAGATGAAGATGGTTAAAAGATCCGATTCAATTATGATTTCGATTTTTTTTGTGGTACTTATCAATAAACAAGAGGTTAAATTACTCGAAAAAAATGTAAGTACATATTTTTCTTTTATTTTATAATTGTATACTTCAATTTTTGTTAAAAAAATTAATACATTATTTTCAAAAAATGCTCAGATAATTATTGTCACATATGTTTTAATGTTAATTATATTTTATATAACATACCGTATTTACGCGAATCTAATGCGCATCGTTTTTGGCCAAATGTAGTATTCAAAATTGGGGTGCGCATTAGATTCGAGTGCAAAGTTCGCCGATGACGTCAACCAAATTTCTCGACTACATTTACCGTTACATTTATCGTTGACACATTATTGCATAGAGGATACAAACTGCAGAGTACGTAGTCACGAAATGGAGGGCAAACAGAGAAGAATGTCATATGACGCTACTTTCAAACTTAAAGTAATTCTTTATGCTGAAAAAAATGGCATTAGAAAGGCAGGGAGAGAGTTCAACGTAGCTGAGAGCAATGTTCGCTTGTGGCGGCAACGGAAATTGGCACTGTTTGCAACTAAAGCTAGTAGAAAGAAATTCACTGGCCCTCCCAAAGGAAGATCTTTGTAGATCTTTGATTGTAAAATCTTTCAAGAAATGCTGCATTTCAAATTCATTGAATGGCAGTGACGATGACGTGCTCTGGAATGCCGACGATGACGATGATGAGGAAAGAAGAAATGAATCTGCTTCTGACGAAGAGAGCTGCGAGGATTCCAGTGACGAAAACATTAATGAATAAAGACGTTTACTATTAAGCACTGATTGTAGAAACTGTTAGCTAGATAGAAATGTTACGATTTATTTCATGCTCATATTTTACAATAGGTACCGTATATACGGTACTAATAACGAAATACTATATACGGTGCTAATTAACAATGATTGTTTCACATGACAATAGCCCACTAATAGGTTAAATCTATGTTCTGCTACTTTATGTATAAATCCATTGTTATATAAAATATGGTATCTAAATTTAAATAAAATTATCATACCATTAATTGATAGTTTATATACAAATCCATTGTTGTATAAAATAAGATTCAATAAATTCCTCATATCATTGATGCGCATTACATTCGCCGACAAACAATTTTTTTATTATTTAAAGTCTTAAAATGGGGATGCGCATTAGATTCGATGGCACATTAGATTCGCATAAATACGGTATTTTAAAGTATTTGAATTTAATAATATTCTAATTCTTTTAAATGTTGGTAGGATGGTTTTTAATTCGATATTCAATTTCAGTAATATTTTAATCTAATTAAACGTTGGCACAATGTTTTTATAGCGGTGTTTTTATTCTCTTTTTTGCTATATGAAAGTAATAATAGCCTTACTTTAGTACTTTATACTCATAGTAAATGTACTTATTTACACTTACCTGCCATCTTAAAAAAAGACATTTTCAACAAAAAATTAATCCATTACTTTTAACGATATTTATTTATTTTTTTTTTAAGTTTCGAATACTTTACTATGCGTAAAAACAGCGTTTTTCAAGATGGCTGACGATTGTAAAAATCGCGCCAACAATTGCGCCAACGTAAATCGCCAAAAATCCGTGCAACTGTCTACCAAAGTAGCACCGAAATATCCACCACATATGTACAATTTATATTACGAAAAAATTTTTTGACCTTTTGGGTTTCCAGGGTTGCAAATAAATATGAATCTCTGCGTTTTATTTCTGTGAATACGAAACAAAGGCGCGAAAGACTTAGAATCACCTAATGATACTGGACCTTTCCCTACTTCAATAGTAAATTCCCTTTTTAGGGCGAAGAATGAACTCTCATGGGATCTCCCTAACCTTGCAGTAAGTAATTAACATTCCTTTTGAACGATTCTAAGTGCTTCTGACGAAGAGAGCTGCGAGGATTCCAGTGACGAAAACATTTGCATTTAACACTTTGAATTATATATAGCTGTTGAAATCATGTGGTAACTTCTTTGAATACCTTATGCAGAGCAGATTCTTATTCTTTTCAATTTAATTCTGTATGACAATTAAGAATCTAATTATGCTTCACTTGCCTTGATGATCCACCTGATTAATCCCTGTAAATTAAATTTCACATAAAAAATGTGTCACCTGGTAGGGACCATTCTCTTCGAACTATGGCACTGGGTGAATACACAGACAATTGTAAAAAGTTGTTGTATTATGACAGCTCCCTCGTTTACTTTACACATACGGAAACTAGTTTTTCATGCTTACGGTAACTAATTTTCAGGATTTTATACAATGAGCATAAAAACAAGAAACAAATTGCTGGAAACAGACTAAATGAAAAAAAAAAGAATTTAAATCAAAAAGCTTTTTTTTTTTCCCCTCATTAAAAAATTTATCACTCCACAAATTTATTATACTGCATATACTAATAGAAAACATTATTTCTTTCACATATTTATCCATGCCAGTACTGGATGCCTAGCGTTGAAGCTTCAGATACTTAAATCTCATACATAATAAATCACTCTTCACACGGTAGAAACAAAGTATGAATAAATAAAATTGAGTCAAAGATAACTGTAAAAAATGTTGTTGCGTTTATACAATAGATCTGATTTTATCAAATACTTTATGTGATCATAAAACAAAAAAAATTACAGTGTCATGCTCATTGTTTTGAAAGTTTTAGGTACACTAACCACTGTAATTAGAGCATACTGTTATCAGTTCAATAATATTCAATGGAATCTACTAGAGATATATACTACTTTTTACTACTATTTGTCCTACAAATACCAAACACGATTGTTACAAAACAAAATATATTGATTAAAATTATTCAGCATATATACACTTACAGCTTGAAAGTTTACAGCTCCCCTTGCAAGAAAAGTTTCATATTAGTAATTTTTGCATGTCAATTTGCGCTAATAAATGCTAAATGATTATACAAAATAATTTTTAATTCATTTTGACAGATAATTTGGAATTCTTTTTTCAACTTTTATATTTTTTAAATACTTGTTTTTTTAATTTAAATTGTAAATATTAAGAAATAATTTCATTAGCATCACTTTTAAACATTTACAATTTTACAAAAACATACGGAAAAAAGGACGTCGTCTTCTTTCAGGTGATTTTACCACAGCATGGTTTCTCTGAACTAAATTTTTTAACTCTCGTTTTTATTCTCTTTCATGCAAAGCGCCTTCTTATGACGAAATTTTAATTGACACACAAATTATCTTGAGCTTTAATTCTTCAAAAATTATATATGGAATTCAAAGATGACAGTTTCGAAAATAAAAAGAGCTCCGAAAGGCGAAATAACACGATTTTTCATGAGTTTTAATTCCAAAACTAATGTTGAAATTGACATAAAAATATATCTGCCCAGTCAACAACATACAAATCATTTTTAAAGAGCAAATCAAATACGTGTAACTGGGTAAAACTGTAATTGCAATTCAATAAATTTTCTTTAAAAAAAGCAAACGTTAGGCAGTCAAATGCACATACACAATTAGCTGAAGATATTAACAGCATTTATTTATTTTTATCACATTTAATAATGTGTTGATAGATATTACGTAGAGAACATCAGAGATAATGCACTGATTCTTATGAGATACTTAAACGCAATATTAACTCAAGCAAAAAATCTTCATGAAAATAAAATAAAACAGAACTCATGAATTTTTAGAAGACGAAGAGGTACTGACACTTACATGTTAGGTAGAAATTTTTAAACTAAAATATGCGGTAAAGAAATTAAAGTTGCTTTTTGTTGCCAATACAAAAGCATGTAATAACAGCAAAACAGCTGATATCGAAGAGCACTTGCCAGATTATCAAGTCAATTGAAACAAAAAGTGTCTACTATACCATTGAAGAGTGGTATTAAGTGGATTTCTATGCCATAAATTATTAGCCACACTAGAACTATGTACATAGTTAAATTTAAATTTTAAGACTACCACTCTACTGAATTAAAATTTTGAGACCTTTTATTTCGTTACGAAGTAGTGTATTGATAATTTTATATACTAAATTTATTTGGCAACAGTATCATTTTATTTACATGTGTTATTTATATTTATTTACGTGTAGTAGACATGGGTGTTAGAGGTTTAAGTTCCTTTTTTAATCAGAATCCGGATCTCTCTAAAACGTGTAAATTGCATGATACTCAAGTTATAATAGATGGAAATAACCTCATTCATGTTTTGTATTTCAATTCCAAAGTTGACTGTGTGTATGGTGGGGACTACCATAAGTAAGACTTCACATTTTCATTTATATACTTTTGTAAATATTTAAGTAACTTTTTTCTTGCAATGATAACTGATAGGATATTGAATTTCTGCGTTACTGTGAATGCAAACATGAATTCTCATTTTTATATACTAATTGACATAGTCGCAAAATGAAGCTCAAAATTTAAAACAATTAAAATTAACTTGAGGCAAAATGCAGCCTTACTGATAGGTTTTCAACTTCAGATTGATGTTAGTCATTGAAAAATTGTGCATTTTGAAGAACACATGGTCCCTTATCAGGTTAAGTGAAGAATTATCTTCTGTGATCTTTTTGAATAAGAATCCCGTGCCTATCGGTCTTGGAATGTGTAGAATAAAAAAAAATTTAAAAAAAAAGAAAAAAGGCTGACATTAGTATAAGCTTGAATTTTTGTCTTAGTTTAAATATATGAATATGTAAAATTAAATAATTTAAAAAATAGTACTTTTAATAGTAATTTATAGTACTTTGGTACTTTACTGGCCTTGAGTTATTGGTTTATTACTGCCACTTTACTGTTGAACTTTTATTAACCATACCTCTATTAATTGAGTTGGCGGTCAATTTAAAGAAATCATTGGGGAAAAGGTGATAACATTATGAAGGGTGCCACAGGCTCATCTTTGGAATATGGTAACAGGTAGTTTAGCGACATTTTGGTAAGGCGATAAAGGTTACTAGTTAGGACTTTAGCAGTGTACATGGATAAAGTCAACGAGTGTGTGCAATGCCATTTTTGTGCAATTCTGGGATTTTTTTTTTTTTTTTTTTTTTTTTTTTTTTTTGGTTGATCTTTGGATTATAGTAACTTGGCGATTTTTTGGCGACCAACTCTGCTACAGCAACCCTCTATTTTTTTTGCCGCCATTTTGTCTTCACGAAGTAAAGACATGTTTCTTTTCTTTTTATTTACTTAACACTTTTTCCAACAATCTGCTAGCCAAATTACACTTATGCTAGAAATTTTATGGAACAAAACTGCTTAATCATGCCAAATATTAACTGCAAAATTGGAAAAAAGTGCAGAATCGCAAACTCCTTGCCACGTTTTTCAAAATCGCACATACACAGTAACGATGTACACGACCTATTTTTACTTAAAAAAACATCCCAGAATTGCACAAAAATGGCATTGTGCACACTCTTGACTTTATCCATCTACACTGCTATTTTCTCATAAATTACAAAAATTTGCATGAAAATGCAGGAAAATTTTGTGAATCTTTAAACTCGGTAAAAAGTACATATATGAGGTTACCTGATCGCAAAAAAGTACCGTAATTTATGGAAAAAAGGCCGCATCAGCGTAAACGGCGCACTCGAGAAAAATGGCGGGAAAAAATTAAAATTACACAGAAACACCGCATCAGCGTAAACGCCGCAATAGATTAAATTGCGCGTGACATCATCGTGGGCCATATAGATGCAACTCAACCTAAGTCCTGATATATGACATACCAGTTAAGAAAAATGCATGAAATGAAACCATAACTCAAAAATAAATTAAAGAAATGTATAGCTTCTGTTCCGTTTAGAGACATTTTCAAAAATTTTCCGCTCCCTAATTAAAAACTATCCAACAAGTACTTGTACCCAAACTGATGGGATCTGTATTTGGCAGAATGCCAAGAAATATCCATTCATGCTGAAAGGGAAATACGTCGTGTCCGCCTTTGAAAAAATTGCAGAAAAGGCAGGGGTGGGGAGAGGATGGGTCCTGGAAGATTCATCGAATGGCAGAGGAGAGAGACTATTCAAACTGATGAGAATGTTGATTTGAAAGGGGGAAGAATGTTATTGTTCTGAGATCTTGTTTAGGGTGAATAAGGCATGTTGGTCTGTTCAAGGGAAAGAATGTGAACAAAATAACGTTCGCAAAAAGCAACTGAGTGGTCTTTTGTGTAGGAACAGCACCAATCTATGCACAATGACAAGGCCATCTAAACTATGTACAATGACCATCATAGGAAATATTTTATTTTTAGTGCACCTAAACGCCGCACCCGCTGAAAATTTAAGTTTTAAACACGTAAATGCCGTGGCGTTTCGTCATGATTAAGCACTTTTGTTCCATAAAAGTTCTAGCATAAACGTAATTCGGCTAGCAGATTGTTGGGAAAAAATGTTGAGTAAACATGCCTTTACTTCGTGAACACAAAATGGCATCCAAACAAAAACTAGCAGGTTGCTGTAGAAGGGTTGGTTGCCAAAAAATCGCAAGTTACCATAATCCAAAGATTAACCGCTGCCACAACAATTAGTAATACGTTGCAAAGTCTGATATCCGAAATCATCAGAACCCCAAGATCTGGAATTGTCAGGACTTTAACGATTCGAAATATTTAAGGATTTTAGATCGCCAGTTTAAAAAGATGTAAGATGGCATGTGGACATGGCAAAATTCAGGTGTGGTGACTTCCTACTACAGCTAAACGCTGCCAGTCTGGTAACTCATAGCAACGAAAAACAAAATAATGTTTATTCTATTGTTAATATAGATACAAAAAAAAAAACTGATATTATTGACAATCTGTTTTTGTTATCATAGTTGCTTGTCCAGCTATGCTTTATTTATTATTGTTCAAAATGGCTTATTACACAAATTAAACTATTATTATTATATTAAAAGGAGCGTGTAATTATATGTCTCAAAAATTGCACTACCATATCGGGCTTCATTTATTGTTTTGGTCAGATAGAAAAATACTAAATCCCCCCCCTCAACCACTGAAGGGCCAAAAGTGTGATCCTGGTCAGCATCAATCAGTGTAACTGTCATTGGCCACAATGCCACTTTCCTTGACAGCAGGTGTTTGAATGTGACATGCAGAAATGTCAGTTGGAAAAAAAAAAATCGCATTTTATGGTACACTTGCTTTCTTTTATTATTTTATTCTCCATTCCTAAACTTTGTAAGTGAAATATAGATTTTTTTTTATTAGACCAAATTGCTTTAGCCAAGAAGGGCATTATTAGTCTCAAAACAGGGTTTTGCATTGAATCACTATAAAAGCCTGAATCACTTTTCAAGTTGTTCCCACCAAATATTATTGTCTTGTATTATAGTTAAAGAAATTAAATGATAAAGAATCTGCATGAGTGTATGTATGTTTCTCGCATTGTGAGAAAACAATGGTACCTAGAGCCATGAAATTTTGAATAACATAGCCCTCTACCCGGATATGAACACCTGGAAGCCCGAATTTGGAATTTGTTTTATTGTCTATTTCACATTTTGATTAAAAAAACGACAATTTCAAAGTGAGCAGTGGCAACACTGTAGGCATCTTTATCTCCAGTGCACAAGACTGTCTATTAGAAATTCTAAAGAATGGTGTTTTTAAATATTTTCAGTCCAAAGTGGTATTAGCCCAAATGCTCTTGAAACGTGTGTGTGTGTGTCTGTAAATGAAAAAAAATGCTAATTTAAACATAATATAAATTCTGAAAACATTCAGATTTAAAATCTTTTATTTATTAATTTTTTTATTTATTGGCTAATGGTCCAGAGATTTGGATATCCAGATTTCGAACTTTGTACTGCATTTATTTGCTCTTATCACTAATTAATCTTTAATTTTTTTAATCAGTTATAGGGAGCTTAATAGCCTTTTCTTATTGTACATCATGATGAAAGATACTGTTACGAAATGTCCAGGCGCAGTAAGATGGCTTCCCTGCAAAGCAGTTTTAGGGTTGCCATAAAATGGCAAGGGAAGGCATGGTTGCCACATTTGGCGACAAAATTGACAATATTACATGGACAGATGGAGAACTTTCTGGAACGAATTCTTACCGGTTTAGTCCAGAATGTTCTCGAACACCAGTCAAAAGATATATAACCCTGCTGGTACATGGAGAGTGAGTTAGTATCGAGAGTGTGCCTCGTCGAGAGCGCGAGTCGGAGTGCCTCATCTGGACTGCAAGATAGTTAGTATCGAGTTGGTGTCTCGTTTAGCGAGTCAATCCCTGAGGAGTCGATCACAGAGTTGACAACCGGGCAGCGAGTGTCGAGTGGGTCATCGAGTGCACCAAAAGAGTCTCGTAGTGTATCGCGGTTAGTGCATCGTCGAGAGAGCATGTTGAGCTCCGGGAACGACTGAACCAAAGAGTCGGGAGCTGTGCTCTGTGCGTCGTCGAGTGCATCGCGAGTTGTAGCCTGGAGAGTCTCGAGAGTATGTAGAGTTCTGAGAATGACCAAGCTGTACTCTGCTGCTTTGCAATGCAGCTGTCTCCAACGTGATAGCCTAATAACCTGGAGGCTGTGTCACTGATCGTGTCAGCGTGTTTATAGTAGTTCATCGACGATTGTAAAAACGTGTTTTGGAGCTGTCCTGACAATACTGGCCAATAAAGTGTGTTTCGATACTTCATCAAGTAGTATATTCATTATTCACTCCAAATCCTCACGAACCCCTTACAAACGGGAAGGAAGAAAATAACTAAACAATACGGTTTACATGCATGTGCAACACTAACAGTCAGATACCGATAGGCAATGAATAAAAGGATGCAGACATACTCAAGAGGATTTTTCAAAACAGATTTTAAGAAACAGCAAACCAGTTTAAAGCCAAGTTTAACTGGCAAAGAAATTATTGTAGACTCGAGGAATAATGAATATTGCAGTGATGATGATGTAGATTTTCACTCTTTTTAGTAACATACACTAAGTCAAGACTGTAAGTATAATTAAGTGAATTATCGCTATGTCTAAAATGCAAACAGAAATGCTTGAAGGGATTAAGACTCTTTTATTAAGAATGCAAATAATGTTAAGTTTGCCTAAGGCTACATGGAAATATTTAACGTTTAAGTTGACTCAACCTTGTATCGACGTGACAGTGTTATTTGCAAGATAAAAGGAATGCCGTACACAGAAATGCCAATTGTAGAATATCAGCTGGTCTCTTTCTACCTCATCTAAATATATGCAAGCTAAAATTTGTATTCTGTTAGGAAAACAGAAAAAGAGAA